CTATCCAAAGAGCTGCCACTTAACGTATAAGTCGCGTATATCGGATTGCCCCGATAAAAAGTCATCAGCTTGCACTTGGAACCGTTTAAATTTAGTAAATTATCTCGGCACCAGTTTTGAAAGTTATCTAGATCGGATTGCAAGTCTAAATGGCAGGAAATGTCCTTATACTGCAGGCACAACTTAACATCATCTGCGTACATAAGTACGCGAGAATGACTTATAATTGAGGGAAGATCGTTAATAAATAATGTAAAAAGTAACGGACCCAGATGGCTCCCTTGTGGGACACCGGAGGTAACACGGAGAATTTCAGAAATTGAATTTTTAAAAAGGACCCTTTGTGACCTGCCATTTAGATAACTTGAAATCCATTTAAGCAGATCAACTGGAAAACCTAAAAGGTCAAGTTTTTGAATAAGAAGTAAGTGATTTACAGAGTCAAATGCTTTACTAAAGTCAATGTAAATGACGTCTGTTTGAAAACTACTATTGAAGCCTTTTATCACAAATGTAGGGAGCTCTAGAAGGTTTGTGATTGTGGATCTACGTTCAATAAATTAACACGGAGAAATGATTGATCTACAAAGGTGAGGAGTAATAATTTTTTCAACAAGAAAGGAAAGCTAACTTCGGGCGGAGCAGAAGTTGATATACCCTTGCAGAATACTCTGTAAATTATATTCTTCAAAATTATTCATATGATGCATTCTTAATACTCATAAAAAATCCCAACTTCCTAACTTTAAAAACACCAAAGTTATGGCATTTCCAATCGTTCAGTTATATGGCAGCTATAAGATATAGTCGGCCGATCCTTATGAAGTTTGGTAGGTCGGATTGATTGGCCAAAAATAAAACCCATAGAAAATCCCAACTTCCTAACTTAACAAATACCAAAGTTATGGCATTTCCGATCAATCAGTTATATGGCAGCTATAGGATATAGTCGGCCGATCCTTATAAAATTTGGTACGTCAAATTGATTGGCCAAATGTAAAACCCATAGAAAATCCCAACTTTCTAACTTTACAAACACCAAAGTTCTGGCATTTCCGATCGTTCAGTTATATGGCAGCTATAGGATATAGTCGGCCGATCCCGGCCGTTCCGACTTATATACTGCGTGCAAAGAAAAGAAGGGTGTGTGCAAAGTTTCAATTCGATATCTTTAAAACTGAGAGACTAGTTCGCGTAGAAACAGACAGACGGACAGACAGACGGACAGACGGACGGACGGACAGACGGACATGCTTATATCAACTCAGGAGGTGATCCTGATCATGAATATATATACTTTATATGGTCGGAGATGTCTCCTTCACTGCGTTGCACACTTTTGACCAAAATTATAATACCCTCTGCAAGGGTATAAAAAGCTTAGGAATAGCTGACAACTTAGAAATACCTCTTTAGTTACTGGCTCCTAACTTGTTACCTTTTTTGAAAAGAGGAATAAAAAATGATTCCTTCCAAATATTTGGGAATGGGTAGGTTTCTAGAGATAAGGTAAGCAACTTGTGAAGAGGTTTGCAGAGGGCCTTAGCGCAATACCTAAGCACGCACCCAGGAATACCATCGGGCCCTGGCGAATAAACAGGCTTAATACGAAGAAGATCCAAAAGAAGAGAGCTTTCTGTTAAAGTGGGACAGAATATGAGGTTTGACTTGGACATGGTGTAAGAATAAGGCTGTGATGAATAATCTAAAGTAGAGTAAGTCGTTTGAAAAAATTGGGCAAATAAATCGGCTATTGCCTGATCTGTGCTTGCCGTCATGTTTTCGAACGACAGCGAGGAAACACCAGTAAAACCGGCGCACTTGGTGTGCACCATATTTTCACACAGCCAGCAAGTCATATTAGACTGGTCAGCCCTGATTAAGAGGCTTACAGAAGCAGACTAAATTTGTATTATTCATTTTATTTATTGGAACCACTGTACCAAGAAAAGGAATTGAAATGTATAAGCGAGCAGTTATAAGTACCCCAAGAGCGCAGAAACTGCACGCTTAGAACTTTCAAAGCAGAGAGAGCGGGAGCGTAAATTAGTTAAAGTGCATGCACAAAAGAGAAACGGCGGGGATATAAGATAAGAAAACACAGATAAGAATTACGAAAACTAAAAAAATTTATTGGTATTATTACAAGTGCACTCGCGAAGCGAACGGAGTTTAAATTTATGTTTGAATAACCGGAAGAAAATTAAAATTGTTTTGATAAAACCCACCGATGGGAATAAACGAAACAAAATACAAAATTCGAAGCGCAGAAAAAAAAACACGACCGTTCACTTTGATAGTCAAAGACGATCACTAAAATTATAATGCAAGGGTATAGCAAGCGTAATAAGATTTCGTTCTTATCGGCAAAATTTGTGCAAGTGTGTAATTGCAAGTCATAGTCAAATTTATTGATTTTTTTTTTTTTTTTTTTTTTTGCGCGGAGTTCCACGGCCCACTTACCCGCCCATCCGACCGAGGGGCAGAGCCGTGTATCGTACGGCACGATTCGCGATAGGATAGACGCGAGATGGGAAAATAAAGGTAAAGGTTCCGGGAAAAAAAGTAATAGTTAGATCAATCTTGTGCCAATGAAGCAAGTATTAATCGTTTTAGGAGCGGCAGAGAGTCAAGATTTGATATTACAGGAAAAAGTCTATTATAGTCAGAACATAATACTCTGAAAGGCTCATGCAAGGCATAGTTAGATCTACAATGATTTAAAATTAGGGGAATATAATTTCTAGTTAATCTACTTGGCACAGAAAAGTTTAGCCGACTTAACAAGTCGGGGCAGTCAATATCACCATGTATAAGGTTATAAATAAAGATACAAGCATCGTTCTACGGTTGGCTAGGGATGGTAAATTAATCAAAAGAAGTCTACTAGAATAAGAAGGTAAGATAAGATTTGCATCCCAGTTTAGGCGCCGTAAAGCAAAAAGAAGGAAGTTTTTTTGTACAGATTCAATACGACCAATATGTATTCCGTATTGTGGGCTCCAGACGGGAGACCCATACTCCAGAATCGGACGGACTAGCGAAATAAATAAAGTTTTAGTCAAATAAGGATCATCGAATTCTTTTGACCACCTTTTAATAAATCCAAGCACTCCTCTGGCTTTATTAACCATGGACGAAATGTGATTAGAAAATTTTTGTTTAGGGTCCAAGAGAACGCCAAGATCGTTTACAAGAGTTATTCTATCCAAAGAGCTGCCACTTAACGTGTAAGTCGCGTATATCGGATTGGCCCGATAAAAAGTCACCAGCTTGCACTTGGAGCCGTTTAAATTTAGTAAATTATCTCGGCACCAGTTTTGAAAATTATCTAGATCGGATTGCAAGTCTAAATGGCAGGAAATGTCCTTATACTGCAGGCACAACTTAACATCTGCTGCGTACATAAGTACGCGAGAATGACTTATAATTGAGGGAAGATCGTTAATAAATAATGTAAAAAGTAACGGACCCAGATGGCTCCCTTGTGGGACACCGGAGGTAACACGGAGAATTTCAGAAATTGAATTTTTAAAAAGGACCCTTTGTGACCTGCCATTTAGATAACTTGAAATCCAATTAAGCAGATCAACTGGAAAACCTAAAAGGTCAAGTTTATGAATAAGAAGTAAGTGATTTACAGAGTCAAATGCTTTACTAAAGTCAGTGTAAATGACATCTGTTTGAAAACTACTATTGAAGCCTTTTATCACAAATGTAGTGAGCTCTAGAAGGTTTGTAATTGTGGATCTACGTTTAATAAATCCGTGTTGACACGGAGAAATAATTGATCTGCAAAAGTGCTGCAAATGAGGAGTAATAATTTTTTCAAAAAGCTTAGGAATAGCTGACAACTTAGAAATACCTCTGTAGTTACTGGCTTCTAACTTGTTCCCTTTTTTGAAAAGAGGAATAACAAATGATTCCTTCCAAATATTTGGGAATTGGGACGTTTCTAGAGATAATGTGTGATATGTGTATACTTTTTATACCCTTGCAGAGGGTATTATAATTTTGGTCAAAAGTGTGCAACGCAGAGAAGGAGACATCTCCGACCCTATAAAGTATACATATTCTTACTCAGGATCGCGTCCTAAGTTTTTATAAGCATGTCCGTCTGTCTGTTTCTACGCTAACTAGTCTCTCAGTTTTGAAGATATCGAATTAAAACGTTGCACACACCCTTCTTTCCTTTCTACGCAGTATATAAGTCGGAACGGCCGTGATCGGCCGACTATATCCTATAGCTGCGATATAACTGATTGATCGGAAATGTTATAACTTTGGTGTTTGTAAAGTTAGGAAGATGGGATTTTCTATGGGTTTTATTTTTGACCAATCAATCCGACCTACTAAATTTCATAAGGATCGACCGCCTATATCCTATAGCTGACATATAGCTGAACTATCGGAAATGGCATAACTTTGGTGTTTTCAAAGTTAGTAAGTTGCGATTTTTTATGAGTATTAAGAATGCATCATTTGAATAATTTTGGAGAATATAATTTACAGAATATTCTGTAAGGGTATATAAACTTCGGCTCCGCCCGAGTGTTGGTGTGACTATATCAAGTAAATTAAAACCTGATACACTTAAGTATCAAATTAAATTAAAGTTACCGAGCATTTTTTAAACCTCTACGTACTTTTAAACCACCATAGGAACGATAAAGCTGTTTCAAGTTTAAGGTAAAAATCGTACTTCTAATTGCCCCTAAAATTTCAGACTGCGTTTACAGTAAATGTTAAGCTAAAGCTGAAGGCGAAGATCAAGCTAAAATTTCATGGTGCAGTACTCTGTGTTGTTAACTTGATTTTTATTGCCAACCTAACAATCAATAACATAAAAAAAGCAATTATAATAAATAGTGGTGCATCGACTAAATATTTTATTTCAAATTTTGAGATATACACTACAGTAGGAAATTACGCAGATACGTTTTTTGAGTCGCTGCAGTTACTTAGTTAACAATCCACTTTATTTTATTTTGTATTTACAGTCATTAGTGAAGATCCGGAATTTACAGATGTCATCGAGAATATTACGGTGCCCGCGGGGCGCAACGTAAAATTGGCTTGTTCGGTGAAGAACCTTGGCTCTTACAAGGTGAGTAGATACAAATGATAACGATTTCACACAGCGACCAGCAGTAGTTACATTTCAAACAAGAAAGGCAAGCCGAAGTTTATATACCCTTACAGTTATTACAAAACGACTACATTTCGATTTCTATACCTGCTAAAAACAATGAAGCTATGTCGATTTTGCGCTGCATTTTGGTATCGTTTCTATGGCAGCTTTATGATATTTTTTATGATATTACTTTAACTCAACGGAATATTTTAATAAATAAAAAAAACAGCTAAATACAATGTTTTTTATTAATTTTTTGATTTTCCAATTGGAAAATTTTTAAATACGAAATGTGAAATTGAGTTCGCGAACTAAAAATAATTCGGTGATATGTACCTTTACGCTGCGCATAGCATGCTTAAAAGACTCTATCGGTTTCTTTTCTCCTTTCGCTCAGCGGGCAGTTTAAATTTGCGTCCAATAGGATTTCCATAATGTGTGTGCAATCAAAACGTGCATAAATTTCATTTTGACCCGACTTTCCGTATCGCTTCTTCGCATTCTCCCCTTTCGTCACATGCTATGTTGTGCTCGTAATAGTTTTTATGACCTCAAAGTTCGGCATGTGCTATGCTCCACCATTTCATATCTAGCTGTTCTCCTCACTGTCCTCAGGTAAGCTCAAAAGTTAACTAGCAGCAGCAACGAGAACCGCTCATGTGCTATGCTCCACCATTTCATATCTAGCTGTTCTCCTCACTGTCCTCAGGTAAGCTCAAAAGTTAACTAGCAGCAGCAACGAGAACCGCTCTAGCTGCAGTAAAACGTGACTTTGCATGCAAAATAGTTGCGTAGTGAATTTTCCTTTCAGCACCACCGCACATTTGCTTCAACACAAACAGACAGGTTACTTTGAATTGATTTTAAAGTCCACAAAGTCTACACAAACCGACCACTAATTAATAATGTATAAACAGCTAACAGGAGTTTTTAGTTTTTCATAAAAATGACATTGACTACATAAAAAATAAATTCTTGCCAAATTAATAGATAGTTTCTTACAAGCTATATTTCTTTCTTTGGTATACGAGAAGCTAAAATAAATTTTTAAATTTTTTCCTTATATGTATATGAAAATATAAAAGAAAAATTCCTCGTTTTGAACGATAACGAAAGTCTTTGAAAAATTGAATAAAGATGAAATAATTTCAAACAAGAAAGGAAGCCAATTTCGCCAGGCCGAAGTTGATATATCCTTGCAGTTATAACAAATCGACTACATTTCGATTTATATGCCTATATTACGAAAAACAGTGAAGCTGAGTTGACTTTGCGCTGCATCTTGTCTTTATTTCAATGGCAGCTATTTGATATTGTTGTCCGATTTTAATTTAAATAAAACCGTAATTCCATAATATTTAAATGTTATCAAATCCAACAGAACAAAAGAAAAATTAGAAACAGCAAAGTTTTAATTTGTTTTGGAATTGTTTTTTCCGATTGTTCTAATGAGAGCTATATGATATAGGACAGACGGACCAACAGAGGAGAGTATTATAATGTTGGGCAAAAGTGTGCAACGCAGTGAAGGAGACGTCTCCGACCCTATAAAGTATAAAGTATTCTTGATCAGGATCGCGTCCTGACTTGATATAAGATGTCCGTCTGTCTGTCCGTCTGTCTGTCCGTCTGTCTGTCCGTCTGTCTGTCTGTCCGTCTGTCTGTTTCTACGCGAACTATTCTCTCAGTTTTAAAGATATCGAATTGAAACTTTGCACACACCCTTCTTACCTTTGCACGTAGCATATAAGTCGGAACTATATCCTATAACTGCCATATAACTGAACAATCGGAAATAACTTTAGTGTTTTTAAAGTTAGGATTTTCTATGGGTTTTATAATTGGCCAATCAATCCGGGCTACCAAATTTCATAGGGATCAGACGACTATATCCTAAAGCCTCCATATAACTGATTGATCGGAAATGCCATTACTTTGGTATTTGTAAAGTTAGGAGGTTGGGATTTGCTATGGGTTTTATATTTGGCTAATCAATCCGACCTACCAAATTTCATAAGGAGCGGCCGACTATATCCTATAGCTGCGATATAACTACGATTGGAAATGCCATAACTAACAGAATATTGGTGTTGTAAATTTAAGAAGTTGGGATTTTCTATGGGTTTTATGTTTAGCCAATCAATCCGACCTACCAAATTTCATAAGGATCGGCCAACTATATCCTATAGCTGCCATATAACTGAACGATCGGAAATGCCATAACTTTAGTGTTTTTAAAATTTGGATTTTCTGAGGGTTTTCTATTTGGCCAATCAAACCGGCCTACCAATTTTCATAGATTATATCCTATAGCCGCCATATAACTGATTGATCGGAAATTCCATAACTTTGGTATTTGTAATATGCCAAATCTTTATCTGATTGTAACTGCAATAAGTCTGCAAGAATTTTTTTTTTTTTTATACTTTATTCTTATTTATTGGATTTTCTCTATTACTTAAGAGACTAACAATAAGTTTTCAAATCTTAATCTATGTTACGTTAATTTATGTTATTGAAGAGGGATGGGAAATCATTCCGCTGTAGACGGGAATGATAGCTTAGCCGGTTGAGTTGTCTGGCTAGCAGGTTTGGGTGATTTGATAATCTGGCTTCATATTTAATTTTTCTGAAAACAATTTCTTCTTTTACGGGATTTATATCCAGGTCTCTCTGGATGTTTGCGTTGCGGATATACAAGGGGGCTCCAGTTATTGTTCGTAGGGTCTTTGATTGTACTCTTTGAATAATTTCTATATTGCTGCTCTTGCATTTCCCCAGAGCTCGGAACCGTAGGTCCAGATCGGCTTTAAGCACGAGTTATACAGTAGTACTTTATATTCGAGTCATAGCCAGTGAAGGCTGCTGGCCTTTAGTTTTAAATGGGTCTTTATTGCTTCTATATGCTTTCTCCAGGTAAGCCTCCTGTCTAAGTGTATGCCGAGATGGTGTTCTTTTAAATGGGCTGTAGCTGTTGTTGGGCATTTCGAGCGGCTGACAATAGCAGTGTCGTCAGCAAAGGTTGAGATGAGGGTCTGGCGGCTTGTTGGAATGTCTGCCGTGTAAAGGATGCACAAGATTGGACCAAGCTCACTTCCTTGGGGTACTCCAGCTTCGATGTTACGGATGGTTGAAGTAAAGGCTTTACATCTCACGGTGAAAACTCTGTTTCTGAGGTATGACTCAAGCAACTTTTGAGTGTTTTCCGGTAGGAGGGTTTTGATTTTGTATACCAGACCGTCGATGCAGACGCGATCAAATGCTTGTGATACGTCCAGAAATAAGGCACTGCAATATTGCTTGTGTTCGAAAGCCGTGCGAATTTCAGATGTTAGGCGGTTTACCTGTTCGATAGTTCCATGCTTTTCCCTAAATCCGAATTGGTGCAGAGGGATCGTTCTGTTCTTTTGAAGATGTGTTACTAGATGAGCAAGAAACAGTTTTTCAAATAGCTTTGATAGACATGGGAGCAGACTGATGGGCCGGTACGAGGAAGGCTGGGATTTGTCTTTTCCTGGTTTCGGGATCATTGTAATGACAGACTTTTTCCATTGGTCAGGAAGGTAGCCCCATTTCAATATTGAGTTAAATATAAATGCGATGCATCTGACTGCGCATGCAGGTAATTCAATTATCATTTTTGGAGAAATAAAATCGTGACCAGGAGCTTTTTTTTGGGTTTATGTGTTCTTTAATAGCTTTAAGTATTGTGCTGGTTTCAAGGGTAACTGGGGAGGACGGCGACGCTAGCGAGACATACGGTAGAGTGAATTGGGTGGATGGCGGGAGAGGCTTGAAGACGTTTTCCAAGTGATGGGCAAAGGTGTTAGCTCTTTCTTCGTCAATGCGCGCCCAGGCACCTGTTTGTGATCTAATTGGCCAATCGGGATCTATTGGTGGTTGCATGTTTGGGTGAGCTCTCCATAGTGGGAATTTATTACCCGTCGGGAGTAGTTTCGCAATGTAGGCCCGTTGGGTTTGGTTCTTTTCGGTAGAGAGGGCCTTCGACAATTTTCGAAATGCTTCATTAAGTCTTTTCTTAGTAGCTGGGGACCGATGAGTCTACCAGACTCTGCGAAGTCTACGTTTTTCAAGTAAGAGAGACTCGATCTGGATACTTGAGCGTCCAGTTCTTAGCGGGTTTGTGGATGAGGGTTCTGGCGTAGAATGTTTGGCGGCAGAGGACATTACGTCCGTGAGGTGTTTAAGCGACTTATAAATGTCAGATTCAGAGGAAATTTTAGGATCAAGTTCGATGTGTCCACTTACATATTTTTTGTACTTCAGTCAGTTTGTTTTTTTTGATGTTAGATGTTGGGGGCGTTACAGAAGCTGCGGCTGTTCAGATAGACAGAGGAGAACTGGCGAATGGTCCGATGTAAGCTCTTCTAAGGTTTTTACGTTTATCAGCCTGTGCGAGACTCTTCTAATAACAGCGAAATCGATAATGTCAGGTTGTTTATTTGGATCTGTGGGCCAGTATGTAGGCCTAGCTGGTGAGACAAAGTCAAGCTTATTACCAGGAGTGATGATAGCGTTGTATAATTGGCTGCCTTTGGGGTTGATAAGACGAGATCCCTAGTGGGGATGCTTTGCGTTATAATCACCGGCAGCTATAAAGCAGCGTCCTAGTGAGCTGTAGAAATTCATAAACTCATTTTCTGCAATACTGAAGCGTGGGGGGCAATATATGGCGGATAGGGTAAGTGGGCCGCCAATTAGGTTTATACGTAGGGATGTGGCCTCCAGGTAGTTAGTAGCGAATGTCTCCAAGGGATGATGTTTTATGCGTTGTTTTATGAGTATACCGGTACGTCCGGGTGGTTGGTCGCGTGGAATATATATCCGATAATATGGAAATAGTTTTTAATAGTTAGATGGGTTTCAGAAAGTAGCATGATATCGATATTGTGGCTGTTTAGGAACTGTAGAAGTTCGTTTTTGTGCCGGGAAACGCCGTTTGCGTTCCAGAA